ATAATAAATTAAATTGAAATCGAAGCCGAGCAGTTGTATTGAGACCCTATCACCGGACAGTTTCTAAGAATTGTTTAATTTAAAGCTACTATCCATATTCGTGTGCAGAATACCAAAAATTATGCAGTTGAATTTTTTAAATATTTCAAATGACCCACTTTCAAGAATCATCTAAGCATAGACTTAAATCGCATCAAGCAAATTATTTTAGTTAAAGTCTTACCTATAAAATAACAATAATAATAATAATAATATATAGTTTTCATGTGAAAACATAAAGTATTTAGATATAAATAAAGGTATACTGTGTAACTCTGGAATCATAACTTAACTAATATGTAGAGCTTTCGAAAAAATTTTCGTATCGATGATATTTTAAGTTTTGAAAAAATATCAATATGATATTTGATGCAACTTTAAGAAAATCGATTTATCAATATTTTTCGATTTTTTAAAAACTTTTTTCCCACAATAAATTTATAATCCGTCCCAAAAATTAAGAAAAAAAAGTACTTTTTAATAAAATGATAAAGACCGCTTTACTCCAGTATTTTGTACTCAACGTTTTTAGAAAATGCGTTCTGTGATGTGATTATCCGTCATACGACTTCGTGAGTCGCTGACAACACATTTCATTGCCGAAGCAAGTCGCTCCGAAGGCACTGAGCTACCAGGGGTGGATAGGCATCGTATTGCTATCTACGATACTCCTGGCTTATCCGCCTTATGAGAAATCGAAAGAAAAAATTTGGAAAATTTTGATTATTTTCCCTAGAAATTCGCGGCTACGGTACATCTCAAGCTCCCTCATTTCTGCACAGTGTACTGCACAGTGCACGAATCATTGTGCTTGTTTTTCATATGCCACGCCATATTTTTTGTGTTATTATTATTTTGTTAATGTTGTTAGGGCGCAAATTACATTTGGCTATTCCATTTTTAAAGTCCAAATAATTCGTTTTCACCATATTCAATTTTTTTTACTTTGGCGCTTGGTTCACTTATCACAGGCGTGACCAACTGAAATATGTCATTTAGCCAAAAATAAATATGCCAATATAAATATAATTCTTAAACAAAAATATCGTTGTTTTGATATTTCGATATATTTTCGACAACCCTACTAATATGCTAAATAAAGAGTAAGAGTAAATTAAGAAGAATGACTGAATGTTGTCATTGTACAATTACAGTCTCTTTATAGAATAATAAGGCTCAAAATCAAATGGTAAAATGCCCGTTGAGTTGCTTCTCCAGCACTCTTGTTTCTGTTCTTCAAATATAAATTCATGAAACGTGACTAAATCTCTCGGTTAATTTACGCACTCAGCTACATCATAGGTGACTGAGTGGCACGTTTCTGACATAAATTTGCATACAGTCTGACAACTATCTGCACTTGAGTTGAGGGACGCAGCTGACTCTAATACGAAGGCTCGTTGACTGTCTCTGACCTAGACATAAACACTTTAAAAGCTGTCCTGGCTGCTGTCTTAGCCGTCGTCGTCGCACTTTGGCCTAATTGCCATCCCCAACTAGCTGGCGCAAAGTTAACGTGACGCAGATGAGACTGGCAGCTAAAGAGCATTGTTAATGGATGGGCCACCTCATACATAAGTATGTCAGCAAAGAGTTTAAAGCGTTTACACGGAGTAAACATAAGCATTATGCCAAGTCGACTTACCTTCATACTTTGCATTTGTGAAAACGAAATAATGTGATATATGTATATTCTTGAGCAGGATGACGGATTGAGTCGATCGATATAAAAATAAAAACAAGTCAGAAAACTCTAGTCGAAAGTGCTCGACTAGATACTAACCTGAACCACATTTAGCACATTTAGTACGGTTCAAAATTTAAATGAAATAAAAAACTCACTAATTTATGCAATGTAAAATATTGCTATGTACTAAAATATTCACACTAAAGTTAAATATATTAAATTCCTTGTCCTGAATACTCACTAAAATACTATATCACTCGATATTTTGCATGCATTTTTTACTTCGTATTTGCTCGGCTTGACAAAATCAGTGCGATATGAGCGCTCAAACATACAGATCACATTTTCATATGCTATGCACTATTTTTGCTTACTCTCTCTCACCTACTGTGTCTGTCTCCTTATGATCTCTCCTTCTATGTTCGCAACCATGCACACAAACGAACAGTCCCGTGCTACATGTATGATCATTTTTGCTCGGCTGAATATTCTGCCTTGAGTTATATATGTAAGAGCAGAGCACTCTTTCACTCAGCCGAGACTGCTCAACTACGAGATCCCCTGAACCCTTCGAGCAACTGATATTTCAATAATTATTCGCATATGCACACACACAGGCATACCCACGCACGCATAAACACGCATGGACTGCACTGTGGCCTTACTATGGGAACTTAATTGTTTAATAACTTTTCTTGTCGATAAACTATCTTCATGAAACATGGATGCATGCATTTGCCAAAGTATAAAATGCATATAAGTATACATTTTAAATTTGGAGACTAGCTTTAATGATGTAGGAGATATATTTTTAAAACTGATTTTCGATAAGGGTTTTATCGATAAAAAATAACGGGATGAGTTATGGATTTTTTGTGATAAACTCGATAGCCGCGCTATATATACGGACATTTGAAAAAAAAATTGAAGTCTCTAACTCTATCTTCTGAAATCGACGCGTTCATATAAACGGATAGACAGACGGACAAGGCAAAATCGACTCAGCTCATCGCCCTGATCAAGAATATATATACTTTATGCGGTCTGCCACGCCTCCTTCTGCCTGTTACATACATTTCAACAAAACCATTATGCCCTGATTTCCCATAATTTAAAAATGTGTGTTTAAAAGGGGTCTGTTAGAATGCACCGAACATATAAATAAGCAAAGCCAACATTGCTTAATGAGCTAACTTCAATATGTAGAGTTGTTTGTTGGTTTGATGATGCGTAGCTTTTGAACACAGTCAAGCATATGAATGACACTAACAGAGTAGAAAAGTTATTTACAAATCAAGTGCTCATACTACTCCTTAAATGCTTAAGCAAAGTGACTTTATATCGTGGCTATGGATTGGTGATTTTGTATGGGTTGTTTCCTATAGGGTATACCCTTGTCAGGGAGTGCCGACTAGACTACTCCTACTTGTTTTGTGATAGGTTTTGACAATATTTGGTTTGTTAAATTCCCAAAACGTTTCAAATATGTTCGTATACCCGTAGCAGTAACGCCCCTTTTTCTCTCTTTCTCTCTCCCCTCCTCTCTACACAGTGAATTGCTTAGCAAAGTTTCGAGATAAAAAGTTGGATCTAGCAGCGGCACAAAGTGAAAATTTGTTGGCCAACACCGTTTGAAACTGTGTTTGCGACCAGTTTGTGGTTACATAACTGTTTGCCCGCAGGATCGCTTAATTTAAATAAATGCTCTACCATTCCACTGGGCTTTGAATATTTGCGCTCTGAAACTATCTTTCCACCCACGCTTTGACTAGGCATTGGGCACATTGTGCGAATTGCTACGCAAGTATTCGCATCGCATGCCAGTCGACGAAAGCCAGTCGAAAGTATTAAATGCTATGTTGTATATGGCATTTCCATTTCAATTTCTATTCTGTGCACTTAATTGCTAATTCATTTTTCACAACAGTCAGCGGAGAGTACATAAGGTCAAAGCCAAGCACTCAAAATGTCTCTGAAATGTTTAAAAACTATACTACTATAATATTTCTATAATGAAAAATTCCCAATTATAAGAAATTTAAATTAAATTGAATTAAAATATTTACTGCTGAAGGTTTTTGTTACTGGAAACTGTTATTATTGAGAGTCAAATATTATCGGTGATTTAAATATCTCCAAAGCTGAAAAAAATTCGTATTTACCGTGCTCGCAATAGTTACATGGGTAACATAAGTACAAAGTTTGGAAGCTCACGCTTTTTAAGTATGCCACGCTCTTGGAGAGGCAGATTAGATATATTCGTTATATTTTTATAAATTCGTGTATGAATGCGAGTTTGCATTCAAAACTTCAACTTTCTAGCACTTTAAAATTATTCATTGATTGTTTCTGAGATACCTAAAACTGCATTATACGATTTGCCACACCCTTGTTGGGCAGTACTGCATATGTTCAACCGCTTAAATCCGAAGACATACCAGAGTGAGTGCTTTAAATTTCAAATCCCTAGCGATAATGGTGAAATGGTTTGCATTTATGCAGAGACCGGACGGACATTGCACAAAACCAATTTAGACAATTCGCTGTCTGGAATGAGTATAAACATAAATATTTGTTTTTTTAAGTGTACAGTATATGCATCATTTTTTTTCTACCTCATCAACAAATATATTGGTAATTGATTTGATAGCCAATCCACGAACATTCAGTTATCCGTCGAGGAACACGATTCAAACAGAATCTTCTCACGGCTTGAAAATTTAGTTGCAAATCGGATGAGTTATCGAAAGAATATGATAAATTTGTACTCTGTATGGTATACACAAGTATGCATACTATTTCAGCTCTCTAGCTCTTATATCTTTTAAGATCGGCGCACTCATACGGACGGACGGACGGACAGGCGGACAGGGCTATAACGACTCAGCTCATCACCCTGATCAAGAATATATATATTTTAAATAATACTTTAAATTACAATAAAAATCTAAATTCTATAAAGTGCATACGAATCTACAATTTGGCATTTCGAGGTCTAAAGATGAAGGGATGTGTTATCGATCTTTGGAGACAAACTCGATATTCGCGAAATATATACACTTTGTTAAAAAAAATTGAAGTCTCTAGTTCAAGGTATAAAACAAACTTTGAAATGTGTTACAGATACTCCTCGCCTCTTTCCCCTGTACAAAAATTAGCAGAAACACTTGTGACTCATATGAATATTGTTATTGTTTTCTGGAAGTACAGTAAACTTGATTTTCCACATGGTTTAGTTCTAGTGCAAATAACTAATCTGATACGTTCCGGCCGTGTCCGACTAAATGTCAAGCAACTTTATTTTGTGAAATAGATACGTTACGGATACGTGTAGCTATTTCGATTCGTTGCAGTCATGCTGTCAAAAACGGTATAAAATGGAAGGACCAAACCCGATGATATCTTCGTTTTAAATCAATCAACATGAAACTGGTAAGGAAGCAAATTTGTTTATTCATTTAAAAGTGATAATCTTATTTTGGTGTCTTTTACTCACAGATTCTGCTCACTGCTGTGCTAGCTATCTGGGCATCGGGATGCAATGCTGCTCTTAATACTATTCCTGAAGAGAAGTGGGAAGAGCTACCACCACTACCAGTAGATTAAAAACTAAAATTGGTTTAGAAATATTCAAATATACAATCATAATGCAGAAATAATTTTTGAGCTGGTCAAATTTTTTACTGTGGTTATTCACACTAAGTCTACAAATTGGTTTTGAATTTAGTCAGTTTCAGTCCGTAGGACTCTTCTTTTAGGAACTGACCGATTTGGACATCGACGAACAACTGAAAATTCCTTACTCCCTAAATAAGATAATTCAATTTGATGCATGCCTATCGGTCCTTTAAAGATCAAAATTTCTAATTCAATTAGAAAGAAAATCAAGAAAGAGAGCTCTAGTCAAAGGCTGCCCACAAGACAGTTCCACTCAAGGCTGATATGAAAATATTAAATTCTTTTAGGTTGCTTAATAAATTATATTCCCGAATAATTGATTTCCCTCGCCTGGAGACTTCAAATTTTTTATATAAGTCCATGTAATGAATACAAAGATTGTAACAATAGTACTCGAGCTCAAGGCTCGAATGAATATTTTAATCAGTTGAGAAATGGGAGTAATTATATAGATTCTTCAGCTTGCAGATCCCCTCGTTTCTCATCAACTGCAACTGGAAGTTAGGGTTTGTTATCGAAATCAGATAAATCGCGACAAAGTCGAGTGCGATGATGGCAGGGAAGCTGATTTGGCGAATAGTTGTGGAAGGAACAGCCGCGTTCAGAGAAGCCAAGTCCTTTCAATTAATGTGCTTTCCACTTTATGGCCAACTGTGGGCAATAAAACTTGTAAGCTGAAAATAAAAATTCAGTTTTGTAGACCAATCCCTGAACAGACATAAAAAATAATATTAACTGAATAATCAAACTTAATTTCACAGATACATGCTCCCATTTAGCTGTACACACTTGGAGCTGCAAACATTAAAGCACAACATCAGACATTTCGCCGTGGCAATCGGTGCAATAAATATTAAATAAACATTATATGCGGCTCGTAAATTTTTTGGCCGACAGCGAGAAACAAAAAAATAAAGTGACAGAAAGTCAAATACAAGCTGAAACGCGAAATTGTTTCTCCTTGTTTTCATGCTCGCTCTCTAAATAAACGAGTATACGAGTAAACGAGTAATCCAACTGGAAGTTGCAAATTGAGAATATATTTCCTTTTTTTTTTTTGTAATAACAATTTTATTTCATCATAAGTTTTGCCCTGAACCCTGAACCCATTTTCGAAGTCTCGCTCTTATATCTTCTGAGATCGACGCGCTCATGCATACGGACGGACAGACAGACGGACAGGGCTAAATCGACTCAGCTCGTCGCCCTGATCAATAATTTATATGTTTTATGGGGCAGCCACGCCTCCTTCTGCCTGTTACATACATTTCAACAAAAACATTATACCCTGATTTGCCACTGGAAATGGACTCAGCTCGTCGCCCTGATTAAGAATATATATGGGGTCTGCGACGATTCCTTCTGCCTGTTACATACATTTCAACAATTATTATTATTTACTATTATGCCCTGATTTCCCATTTTCAATGGGTTCAGGGTATAAAAATTGTATCTCCTATGTCTTTGGAGGTATAGTGCGTTTGGCAGTCAGTTGCGTCGGACTGTAACTCTTATACATTATTTGGACTGTTTCATGTTTACGAGAGAAACGTGTAAATATTTGAGCTCTGTTTTAATAAAAATGTGGCAACAATTATGAGGGACGTAACCACAGTTATATATTCATTTTTATGTATGGTAACAGTTATATATATTTATATTAACTAACGTAATTAACCATCAATATTACCTGGCAGCAGGCAGGCGCTGCGTATTTCTATATTTGATTACCAATAATAAATATCGAGTCGAACAGAGCGTACTGCAAAAATCGTATTTATTATTCTTAAATAAAGATTAATTTACGTCCAGGAAAACGAGAATGATTTTGTTAAAAGTATGTAACAGGCAGAAGGAGGCGTGGCAGACCCCACAAAGTATATATATTCTTGATCAGGGCGACGAGCTGAGTCGATTTGTCCGTGTATATCACGCGCATATCGAGTTTTTCTCTATATATCGATAACTACTCTCGATATTTTGTTATCGATCAAAAACTTTATCGAAAGATAGTTATTTAATTATATCTTTTACACCTTTAGAGCTAGAGCTTCCAAATTTTAAATGTAGACTCATATGTATTTTATGTCATTTCGATTTTCGTTGTAATTTACCCCCCACCCCTATATCCATCCCCTCACCCTCACCTTTGTAAAAGGCGTATTTCAAGTACTAGAGACTTTTGCATTGGAATGTACATACATTTTCCCCATATAATTACGCTCTGAAAGTTTCATTATGATTGTACGTCTAGAAATTAAATTATTCAACAATTAAATTCTTATAATTTTGCCCCCACTGCAGCGCAGCCCAAGCGCAGTCGCTGCTTACTGCGCAGTTAGCAGAGCGCAGGCTTATGCGCGCGTGTGTATGTATGTGTGCCGAAAAGAAGTGCAGAGTGATTAGTATATTAGATTAGAGGGTTCAGGGTATCTCCTAGTCGAGCAGTCTCGTCTAGAGTCTTCTTACTAGTTTTTGATTGAAGAGAATATCAAACTCTTGTAAGTGCTTGCCACGCTCATTTGTGGGAAGAGTATGAAAGCGTTGATGCGCAATAGGAACATGTTTTTGACACGAATCGGACACACTGACTCTGCTATATGCATGAGCATTTTTATGAATGAATGCGAACTTATCAGCTCATTAACTCGCAACTCCCACTCCGACAATTCTTCTTTGATCAGTGATATATTCTGCATTCTTCCACGCTGATCAATTTCGGTTTAGCTTCAATACCACTCAATTCATTTTGCGCATTGTAAATTTGCACTCCATTATTATTTAGCATTCATTTATTTCTCTATTTAGCATAATTATGTATATATTGATTATATAAGTTAAGACTTTCGACAATATAAGGAGCCTGGAGAGTCCAGTCAGACATTCAAGGGGAGAACCTAACCAGTTGAACAGATTTAGTTCAGTTTATATTCGGACCAGACACAGTTCAGACCTATTGTTCCAAATTATATCAAATATATTATTTCATCGAACACCAAGTTGTTATATATTTACAAGAACCCAACACAGCGTCCCCAATCACTAGTACTCTAGTGTGGGTGCGCTTAACTTATATATTACTTATTACATACATATGTAAATTTACCAATTCAAAATTAAAATATTTATATTGCACAAACCTATTCTATATCAGGTGTTTAGGAGGTGATTATCATAATAGCGCAATCTCTGCATACTTGAATTATTAATGGTTGTAATACAAGTTTCATTTATTTGAAGGCAATATATGCACATTGCCTAGCCTGGGATATCATAAATTTCAAAACAAATTATGCAATTGACTGCCTCACATTTGATACCAGCACCAATTGAATAAATAATTGGATAGCATATGGGCATTTTGCTAACTGGGATGAAATGTATAGCCGTTCTGAATGAGAATGGCGACTGAAAATTTATGAAAATTTTTGTAGCACATTTTGTGGGCGCCGCTCATGAATGGCTGAGTTGTAATGTGTCTGTCACATTGTTTGTTAGCTTGTTTACAATAATAAAAGGACTTTGTTTTGCACTGCTTAAATATTTACATTCAAAATTTATTCATAGGACACACTCACTTCCCCCTGTTTTGTTTCTTGCTTGTTGTTTTCCACAACAACAAAACAAATGCAAGAAGAGTGTGAGCGAGAGTGTGCCTTTATGCATTTCCCTCGTATCATTTTCTTTTTGTTAGATTCAATCAAGTGTAAGGAAATACAGCAGACATATGGAAATGTTGGCACAGATGTAGATAATAGACTTAGACACAAAGCCAGCGTAGCTCTTGAAAATGTCGTATCCCAATCCTTCCTTCAAATTGGAATGTATATGTATTAAATTCTTGGTATTTCGACACTTAAATCGTTGTTCTTTTTACGTTTTCTGATTTTTATCCTTCAATGATTTTTAATAATGCTATAAAGATGTTTACAACTGTGATTTCTAAACAACATTAAATTAATAAGAGAAGACATTTATCTACATGAGATTTATGACTTTTTCCTACAAAGGTTGAATGAGAAATAGGCAGAATATAATTTTTTACGCTTTATAAGTAAAATTTCATAAAATTGAAACTCAATATAAAATTAGAATATTTGAATCTAAACTAAATTTGCAAATATTTTCAGTATTCTTATTTATTTTATTTTATAGATAACTGAACCGCAACAAAAACAAAAAGCCAATTAACCTGAAGTCGGTTGAGTATTTTGTTCTTCTGTTGAAATAAGTAGCTTTAAAGACCTTCTATTTAATATGAATTAGTCAGTCCCTTCTGCAGCTAATATTGAATAAAAGAATTCGCTATTCGGACTGCTGTTTCAAGGACCCCCCGTAAAATATTCCGCAGACGTTAGAATGGAATTTCATACATAAGCAATTCGCAAATTTAAGTTAGCTCCTAATCGAAATTGTGTTGTCACAGAATTACTTGACGCACTTAAACTATTTTGCAATTTTTCGTTTGTGATGATTTGCTTCTGGCTAGATTGAATTCAGAGATGGTCGCCGAAACGTCATTCCAACTCTTGACCCAAGTAGTTGGCTGGCAGAACACATCGAGACAAACATCCTGCGCGACAGACAACTGTGCGAGTTGGAGGCAGGTAGAAAATGGAAAAATGGAATAAAACCCCAGGAACGTGACAGGAAATAGTTCAAATGCCATTAATCCTCACCTTGCTTGTGCAGCACTCGTTAGGTTACAGGCAGGGTCTGAGCCAAAACCATTTGGCCCCAGCTGTGCGGCCGCTGTTATTCGAGACGCATCGAAAAAGAATGCACAATAGAGGCCGCTGTGTGTTTGCTTTAGCCTAGACAAATATAAGGAAAATGGACAGCTTGCTGAATAAGAATTACACTTATGTACATGTTACGGTTATCAGCACGCTCAAGCTCTAATCGGTTGCATAGTTGCTCCATCCAATCCATTACAAAATGCATTTCAGCGGCTATCGCACATAATTAAAACAAAATATATAAGTTCTGTGTGGGCTTTATGACGTAAATCCCTTGACGACACTCCCAGCACGCCAACAAATTCTCAACTCGACTCAAAAGTGAGTCGAAACTCACTCCTGCTGAAAAGTGGAAAGTGCACAACCAGCAGAAGCTGGCGAAAATGTTTGCAAACAAGAGTCAACAGGGTATGTTTGACTTTGCAATGCCCTTTTGTGTGTTTCAAATTGGATTTTAAAATCTTTAAAATCAAAGAAAATTTAGAATTTTCTTTAACTTGCATTCTGTCTTAGTTTTAAAATTCTTCTTATTGGGGAAATTATTACAAATTATGGTATAAATATCACAAAGTGATATAAGTCTGATTGGTCATTAGGTATGCAAATTTTTATCTGCATGTACATTAGCTTTCTTCAATATTTATATTATATATATTTATATATATATTTATTATAGTACATATTCAAATACAAATATTTCTTATAGAGAGTACATAGTTGGATTGGGATTCAGTCAATGAAACCCAAGAAAACATACATTCATACATATATATATATATATATATATATATATATATATATATATATATATATGTATATGAGAAAGTGAAAAGACTTTGATAAGTGCATTTCCTCTTCAAAACTCTTCAGACTGTTGCAGCTGTTGTGCTTATTGTTGTGGGTATTATAATTGTTGTTGTTGTTTAACTTTCAGTTGAGTGTAACATTTTATATGCCATCTGCTCGGAACATTTGAAATTTAGCTCGTAAAACTTGGCTTGCAATAATCTCCTACCTTATAAGCATCAGCTGACAATTTAATATTGCAATGTTATTAAGTAGAAGAAAATGAAATAACTTAAGCTAACTTATAAATGGCTTACAAAGTCTTTTAAAGAGTTTACTCAATTCATTGTCTGGAGCTGTCTAGAAATGAGATACCATTTTTGCTATTCGCAATTTTCAATGAATTTATCAAATAAATATATTTTGTTACAGACTTTTTAACATTTTTATTACTACATATTTATTTTGCTTAAATTAATTGAATAAATCATATCATCTTATATATGTATATATATATCTTTTTTCTACGGACCTCGTATCCTTTGTCAATTGTAGATTTCGCCAACTTTTTACCCATTTCCTCTATCAATTGTGTTTGTTGACCATTTCATTTGGGTTATTGCAGTTCATTTCCATGTGTTTTCCACTGGCTTGCGTACGTACCGCAGACAAGTCAGCGGAAAATGACGAGTTTTCCGTTGTTTTCAGTTGTTTCACTGACTTTTCGCTACAGAGCGCAAACATAAAAACTGTAATTCAAAACAGCTGAGGATACAAATTGCGGAACGTGCGAATAACAGAAAAAAAAAATATGAAATAGCGCCGTTCGCCCAGTATACAGCGCATCTCATATACGCACACACACACAAACACAGATACACCTAAAAGCATGCACAAATACACGTAAAGAAACATTGTTATGTTCGCAGTTGGGAATAAATGTCTGCGGAGGGTAAAAAGTGTTGGGAAATTTTGTTTTTGCTTGTTTTTACTTGTAACATCGAAGGCTGAAAAAACCAGTAGAGGTAGGGAGTATCCGCATTCAAGATACCATAAAAACAAGTATGTAGATATTAAATTGCAATTGAGTGAGTGTGGCGCCTTCAGTCTAGAAATTGCAATACATTTGTATATGCTTATACTAGCGCTTGATACTAAATATAACTTGAAATACCATTAATAACATCCTTTCGTTTTGTCTTTTAACGAGACACTTTTCATTCGAGTTTATTACGGGGTGTACGAATGGGTAAGGGTAAGTGAAAAAGACAAAACTATTTGTATACTGCCGACGTTGTCATTGTTTATTTCAGTTTATAATACACGAACGGGGTGTTAAAATCCTTTAAAGATGTTAATTTAAGTTTAAATTTTTTGCCGCTTTATGACTATCATAAATATTTGCGATGTAGCTCGTACCTGAAAAAAGAAAGTGTAATTGTTGTAGTTGAAGATTGGTAAGCACTACATACATTCTGATGTTATGCATTTTCTTAAGATAATAATAATTATTTATAATAATAAAATTGCATATTTTTGTATAAATAAAGAAGTTGCTTTTATAATTAAAAGATGCATTTTCGGTAATAAATAATTAAAAAATTAATTGCATGTCTTTTTAGTAATTAAGGGGTATTTTAAGATCGTCATAACCATGTTTTGTGTTATTTTCGATGTTTATTGAAGAAGCGAATGTTTCGCTATGGTTCTAAAATTGTTTTTTGTATCCTTTTGTATAGGTTGAAGGCTTTTTAAATTTATTTATTATTGCTACGAACATTCTTAATAAAGTAAAGAATGTCAGGTATTCGGGGTAAATTTCATACTTCGTTTCATGCTTTAAATACAAAAAAAAATTGTTACTAATTTTAAGTTGTTCGGGATGTTGTAAACCACTTCTGATTTCATTGGGAGCATAAATATTGCCTTTGGGTCTGCGTTAGCATTTCTCATTTTTGTTTTTGTATTATCCTTTGCGTCTGCTAATGGCCTTATCAGCGGTAACAAAGTTAGATTGCCTGTAAGGGAACAGTATTAGAGCAACAGCAGTGTAATTAATATACGATGTGTATAATAGTTTATATATGTATATATTTACATATACACATATATATTCATGCGTGTGTATTGTTAATGCCAAGGCTGGATTAATGTCAAAGTTGGCGCTGTCGGGACAACGGGGAAATCAAATTATTTTTCGTTAATAAGATAATTTTTTGCTTTTCATACTCGTACGCAGAGGAAACAGGTATATTGGTTTTCTACTACTCTACGCTTTTTCGACATCAAATTAAAATTTGAAATGTAGGTTTGAGTACCCGCCAGATGGACCATACAGAAAGGTCAAGGTCAAAGTGCGACAAATTGGTTACTGAGCCGCGAGCGAGTATTATGCAGTCAGTTTGCAGCTGTCTAAAAAGTTTTTACTTTTTTATTTTTCATCATTCTGAATCTTTTTGTACACATTTCAATGGAGCTTCGCGTTGTTGTCCGCTCCTCAGTTTGGAAATTGTGTGACAGGCGGGGGCACTTCTAACGCATCCTTGACTTATTGTGTCGTGCTATCTCGTAATGACAGGACAATGGCGTTTTATCTAATTATTCTGACTTCCATTCTGTTGTCTGCTTCAGCAGTTGCAGCCCAACATATAAATTTGGCTTGCTCTGGTCCGACAATCACTGAAAGAATTCTTGGTAATGTGCAAACGTACTATATATAGCGAGAAGCTCGTTGCCTAATCTGGACTTAATTCAACCGAAACTCAAATCAAAGGATCCCCTTTTTCAATATCTAAGCAAAGGGCCTGCCGAATTCTTAATTCTTTTTACACTCACAAAGCGAAAGAGTATATTGGCTTCGAGAAATGTCCGATTGTCTCGACGGCCAACCGTCGCTACCATAGCAGAAATACATCTAAACAGACTTCAAAATTTGAGCATATGGTCGCGATGGAACCCAAAGTTCAAGAGGAGAATAATAACTTAGAACGTGCGTTACTAATAAAATCCTCAACAGATCAATGAAGGCATGTGGGTTCATGCTCACTAAGAGGGCGGCTGATTAACACAAAGCTCAGCTAATGAAGATTCCTTCTTGACTTTAAAGTCAAAAGATATTCAACTGTATGAAAGGAATTTAATTTGAAAGAGCATTATGCAGTCGGTAACGGTCGAACATAAAATTCAAACTTGTTTTTGTTTAGATTAACGACCTTTCGACAGCTTGTGGGCCTTGTCTAAGAGCCGTGAGATATGCCAGCTTGGTGCTTGGGGTTAATATACAGACCATGTTTCGATAATGGCCAAAGCAACCGTTATTCACGACCCAAGACAAACAGAGACCAAAACTTTGCATAAACACTGTTTGCAACGCAAGCAAAGCTAGCTTGAGGTGTCCCGGATGGGAAGGGACTGGGGCAGACTGCTGTTCTGAAATAGTAAAGGTCACTGCGTTCCATTTAATACCCTCAGTTGACTTGGCCACTGATATAGTATCTGTGGGGTTCGCTCCGAATGACAAATGTCCTGTGCGGTGGGGTCGAATTATGCACATGAATCGAGCTCAGATAGAGGGAGATAGAGAGAGACTGAGAGACCCTGAGTCAGACACCAGCTGACTAGCCGCTCCCAAGTGTGCTGTTTGTTTGCCTGTCCAGTTACTATATACAGAGTAAAACACTCAAGTGAAACACTTAGCCAGACCAAGCCTGGCAAAATGTAATATTCTCTGCAAGTTAATTTGACGGACAGCAGCTTAATCATAGGAAATGCACTGACCAGGTTTAAAGATTTCATTTATCATTGTGCCCAGCAAAATGCGATTTTACACGGACCTGATACATATACCCTAACATATTTCAATAGTGTATGATAGAGAAGGTAGAAGCAATCTTCCTCTTTAGGTGTTATTGACCACCATCCAGAGCATCTGTAAGAACATTTGGAACGATTCAAATTAAATATATATGATTATTATTATTTCGTTGCAAGAATGCTCTAATTATTTATTGTGAAACGTTTTTTGATGTTGTCGGAACGTTTACCTATACGTTATTTTGGATATATTCCTGTCTGTCCCCAAAGCAGTTAAAATGTAATCAATCCTCATTGGCATCAATTGAGACGGGACATACGATATTGCTCATCCTTTCACAAATTAACCGAAAATTAGCGTCTGCAGCATTGTTGGGCTGAAAGGATGTGCAAGTTATGTGGAAATATAAATATATCAACTTTTAATGATTTCAACTCTACTTACGCTATATTAGCTGTAAAGCCATTTCATCTGAGTCTGGGTATCTGCCTTTTATATCTGGTACTTGTTTGCCAATCAAGTCTATTTTCTGCCAGAGAAGGACACTTACACCCACATAGCTTGTGTTGTACTCTGCTAAAGCTTGTGCCCCACTTTATAACATTCGCTAATTGCACTCGAGACATTTTGGCAAATCGAGATATGGAAATGTTGTAAGCCAATTAGTCCAAATGGTTTTTGTTGTTAGGTAGGTAAACGTTTCATTTCACAGATGAAAATACAATGAATCACGTATCGGCTCTTTCATACTTGCACTACATATCTATATATGTATACTATGTACGTATAATTGATGAAAACGTATTAACTTGAATGTTGAAAGAGTAAACGAATAGGAATTTGGGGGCTTAAATTGTCGACGATTTGGATGGGCTATTCCACACTTCCGTCGTCAGCAACGCGTCCAGTCATTAAATTATCATTTATACTTGTCTGCCTCTGGGCGTTCATATTGTAATTGTTCAACTTGTAAACGAGCAGAGAGAACACCTCTACCGGTAGAGTCGACTGCAGCACGCTGAGCAGCTTGCCAGGCTTGTTGCAGACGACGATCGCGTTCATCAGATGATCGGCTCCCCGCTCGAAGTTGCCCTCGGTGATCAGAAGTTCGCCCTTGTGGATTTCCTGCATGAAGTAGCGCTCGATGGAGCACTGATCGGTCAAGCTGGGCACACCTTCGTGCTCTTCGGGTTTCCGATTGCGACGACGGCGCTCGTAGAGCTTCTTCTTGAACTCGGGGTGGCTGCGGCGCTTGCTGTCGAAATAGACGCAATAGCCGACAAATGCGACGCTGGCCAAGCCAGCGACAAGGCCCAGAGACGTTTTATTTACAAGCACTCCAATCATTTCGAAGGAATTTTTGTTGTAACGAAATATATATTGAGAGCGGATAAAATGTTGGGACTGAACGAAGCTACTTTTAAAATTGTGTTTAAAAAAAAATTTATTTTTATGCTATCCAATAAACCGATCGACTGCTAAGACGAACTAAAAATATGTATAGGGCTCCAAATTTATTCTAACTAACGAGAGTTTCAAATTCCATATGACAAGCTGTATTTGTATGTGTATTAAAATTAATATGTAAATTATAATAAGACGGGTTATTATGCAAAGACACTTTATTCTTTTATTATCACAATCTCTTTGTTAGCTCGTGTGAGCATTCGTTAGGAACAATCGCACTCAGCCGAAAGTGTAATGACCGAGCCTCGCTCCGGAGGAACTGCCTTCGCGATCACGGTTAACTTCTACGCCAGGTAATTCTGCTTTTCTCTGCTCTGGAACAGCCAATCCAATACGTCAGAGTCAGAACCGTTTGAGAATTATTGTGCGCGCGCAAGTGAAATTTTCTACAGCAAGCAAAACAGTCAAAGCATGCGCTGCCAACAGTTGAGTATGTGTGCGTGTGTTAACTTGTAATATATTTAAGCTCTATACATACCCAGATACATATATTTATCCATAAAGCATTTAAACTGATTTTAAATAAATCTGCACAAAATCCGCAGTTTGGCAACTTGATATTCCGCACAAGCTGCATTTCTTGGAATGCGGCCGCAGTCGGCGATCTTAGGGTTGAATTTATTTATTTATTTTTAATTTTAATTGGAGCTCATTAGCGGCGTATCGAACTGTATGAATGCTGTAATGAAATTGTAAATTAATTCCTAACAATTAAATGAATATTTCTTTAATAAATTAGTTAGTTTGCACCCTACAATCGAATCCGGTAAGTCAAAAATCTCAATAAATACTTTGGTTCCTCTGTAATAAAATCAAATAAACCTTATCAATCGCTCAAAAAACAGAGCAAATTGTCAGACATAGATGTTGGAATAAACTGAATTGACATGACAAAATAAATTAAAATAGATCCATCAGAAATGTCATCAATGCTATACAAAATTGTATTCTGCAAAAATCCTCTTGTAGTAGACTGACAAATCAGAGACAAGCTGTATATTTGAATATCAAAAAATTTCTGTTATTTGAGAAACTCTACGCGTTGAATAAAAATCTTTACTAATTGTAAAATGTGTGATTCGTAAAAAATACTTGCTGCTTGCCATTTCGAATCATAGAGATTTGGTTATGTAAAATCTTTTTAATAATTCAGAAATGAACTTCACCAGGATGTGAAATTATTAATGTTATTAAGAAAAATATATATGCATAGAACGGAAAGTAAACGTAAAACACAGCTCCTTGGATAAAAAAAATCTTTGTAAATTTCCTACTAATTTGGGACCAACGATCGCCCGCCCCACTTTTACATTTCTTATATAAGGTGCAGTAACTCAGCTACTTACATACCCCATCACTATCATATAACCTCTTAAAACCAAACATTCTCAGAGGAGGACTTTGCCAATTTCCTAGTACTCAAATGTCTCTTATGACTGACAGCTGGAATTCAATTAAATCTAAAAAGCTTTGAGAAATACGCAGTTCTCTTTTGTCCGAAAGGAGCTAACGTTTGCCAAGTCCTCTTAGTTTGAAAAGTTTAGCTAGTGAATTTCATTTATATTGAATGAAGAGTACATTTGAGTTTGTCTGCCAGCCTGCTTTGCGTATTGTATTGCCAATAACTAATTGGATTTTTGCTGTTATGCATACTAAAAATGCAATCGTATCTAAATTTCCTACTAGTTATTTTGTGTATACATATGTATATCATATGTATAGTGTTGGCCATAGAACCCCGGGGTATAATGGTTTTGTTATATTGGAACTGGCAGACGAAGTCTTGAAATTGTGGGTCTTATGTATATCAGGCGCAGATTACTGAATCTGCAAAATTTGCAAAAACCATATTTTATTTGCTAAAGACTTTTGCTTTAGCAAACACAACAATTGTCATGTTATTATCATTATTATATTATTGAACTTGTAAGATACCCTGCTGTGAATTTGGAAATCATTGAAATAATATATACATAATATTCATTTGATTAAGTTATATTTTAATAAGATTGTAATATGATATTACTAAAGATACTTTTATATGAATTTTGAACTTAAATAAGTTGAGTAATACTCATTAATTAATATATTCTGTTCTTCTAATCGTCGACTTTAACAATTAATAATAAAATATTTATTATTTGTATATATATGTATATACATATATCATATAACCAGTGAACTCTGCCCAGTCCCAGCATACCCCCTTTGCCCACACTCAAAGAGCAGAGGGAATGTATGGATTCTTAAATATCTGCACTGTGAATGTGATTTGATAAAAGAATTTCATACGAAAGTCAACAAACTGATTGGGATGAGTTTTGCATTTGACAGTCACATGACATTTGTACCGAAGAGAAACGAAAATATAATTTCAATCGAACATGTATCGAATTTCACATGTGCATGTCGAACATACATACATGTGTGCGTATTTTATTACGTGCTCAACCTTTGTCAAACTTCGATGTCAAATTAGCGTCTTGATTAAATAGAAGACATACAGAAGAAGAATATTTTTCAGTCTATTGTCAACTTTTAATTTCATTTCGATTCTTTTCACATGTTTTCGTAAATAATGTAGATATAATGAAAATAAAGGGAAAATCAGATATTTATTCAAATTTTAGGTAAACTAATTCAAGTTTTCTTAGCTTGATTGTCATATATCTCAGCAAAGGTTAAGAGCTAATAAACTTCTTTTTGGCGAATTTCATGTTGGGAGACTGAATACATTTGCAAGCAATAAAACTAATTGCTTTTGCAGGCCTTCAACGTTTCCAGCTTGCCAAGCATATTCAGAGCTCGAGCACTGACAGTTGTGCCAATTTAAATTCGTTTAAGTTCTTGAATAACATAATCACTACAGCGCTCTTGCCAATTAGATAGTCAACTTGTTGCGCGCCTATTGAAATTGCCGCCGCATCTTCTTATCAACTGCTCATTGTCATATGTGCTGCACATCGTGGGGATTTGATTGCCATTTAATGTGACTACAAGTCGATACAGCTGGCCTGAGCTGGGTGGGCTGCTGTGCCTCCATCTTCTGGCCGCCCACAAACGTCGACTGTTGAATGCCGATGCCGGTTGCTGGAGGCAACGGCATGTGATATCGGTGCGGTAAAGGTATTGCTTTCAACTGAATTTGAATTTGAATCTTTTGCTGGCATGGCAATGAAGTAGACAAGTGAAATAGTGAGAAAATCAAATAATAATAGGTCGGGCGTAACAGACTGCCTAATGCTTAATCATTATCAAAAAATATTCAGATAATTATATATACATATATTAAGCCTGCTTGCTGGTAAGATCAACAGAGATTTACTTACATAGCTCGGCGATAGTTGCTTCAAAGCTTTTTCCTTTTCCTTGCTATCCAGCTTCCACGCCGCCACTGAAATTGACGCCCCGTAAATTAACTTAATTATAATTTCAATAATTTCCATTTAATCTGTCCAAATAAGCTTATATGTACAGATGCGGAAAACTAATATACTCATTTGACTGGGCGAGCAATAACTTAAAAAGCTCAATACGTCGGCACAAAAGAAACCGCCCGCCGAAAATCATAATATTATGCAAATTGTTATTTTATGCTTTCCCACCATTAAACGGCATTTCAATGGAATATTTTCCATGTCTTGGCTGTATGTGCCTCTTCCTCTCTCGCTCGCTCTTTCCTTCTCGCCCTTTCAGAGCATCCCATAAAATCCTATTACGCTTAATGTGTTCTCGGCAGCAAACAAAATAACAATCCGTGCATAGCTAGCTGTAAATAGGGTTTATCGTCCAAGTTATCAGAACAAGCAATTTGTGAGCATTAACGCTGCGCAGTAGAGAAAAACTGAGAGTGTTGTTGATTGCTTTTCGCAGTTTACAAATTGCTAACAGTCTTTGTAATATGCTGTGTTTAATTCTTGATGTTTAACATGGCTCAGCGGACTTACGTTCCCTGTGACAGCTGTGCGCGGCGCGCACATCTCAAAGAGTTTCCATGGAAAATCGAGCTTCCCTGCAGCTACTAAGCCATTGAGCATGCCCACATATGCACGGAATTTGTTAACTAACTGCCAGAGCTGTCCATATAATTTCAGTCTCTATACTATAAAATTTAAGCCAAAGCAATCTTTCTTAACAAATAGTAGGGTTTCATTATGTTCTACGAATATTACATTTCAACACCACTGAAAAAAAAAAAAAAAATACTTTTAACAGACTTGCATGTTCCAGTATTAATACAAGAGAAAGATTTCCTTTGATATTCTGATATTTATTGAAATTTGCCTGATTTCCTTTTGTATCTCTTTCATATAGATGTTTTCAGGTATTATTTCCATACCCATTATGATTCCTGTGACCTTTTCCATTCAACTTTTAAATATGCAAGTTTCGAGCACCTTTCGTGAATGTCCTTTCGAGCTACCGATATCCATTTGCCGTGCACTCCAAAGAATCCGCTTTTAATAGCTGAATGAATGCCAGTTTTGCATTTGCAATCATTAAGGGCAAAGCAACCTTTGGTCAGGCTAAGTTTTCCATTGAACAAAGATAAGCAGAGTTAAGTGAAAAGCTGAAGTGACTCGAAAAGCCCCAGGCTGCGATTTGCCAAAACGACAAGCTAATAAATACTAACTAAAAGCTTTGCATAAATTACCTAATAGTTGTAGAGAGCACTCTCCAATTAGGTAGATTGAATTACGATTTAATCAAGCATTAAAAGCCAGCAAGCGTACTAAATCGAATCAATACCCAAAGCGGTGGAAAACTTTCACAAAAATATTGTAAGAAATTCAAATTGTTACGAAAATATACATATACAGATTATACATTTCGTTTGGTTTACTAAAATACTAATACATTATGTATCTGCGACCTTTACAAATTATTTACTGCTCCGTGCTCTGAATAGGATAGAATTTCTATACACACATAAATAAGAATGAATTATTCAATTATATATTTTGATGAACTAAAAATTAAGATCTTTGTATAAAAATAATGTTTTGGTTTGCGATACCTTTCTTTTTTAATTTTCTTAATAATTTGATTAATTATAATTTAAATTATTTATTGCACATTGCATGTTGTACATTACTTACACTGAACTTATTGAAAATGGGTAGTCGAGCTATAATGGTTTTGTTATAATGTGTGTAACAGGCGTGGCACAGCCCATAAAATATATATACTTTAGATCACGGCGCTTCTTGATCCGGTTACAGTAGTATCGATTAAAAGCCCTATTAAATATTTTATAAATTTTCGATTTCTTATTTCTGGAAACTGTTTACAAATCAACCAATTTGACAAAGCCACTGCTATTCACCAATAAGTAACCATAAGTAATAAATGTGACATTTGAAAGTGCTCGCTCTCCCTCTGCTTGCTCTCCCTCTCCTCGCTATGCAACTGAGGAATCGATGAATAAAGGCAGGGCCGGATTAACAAGTAGGCAGTAACAGAAAAATATATTCACATCTGAGAAAACGACGTCTTTAAAGTGTAGACAGTCATTTTATTGATATTATTACATTATGCCAATAAAATTTGTATAAAACATAAGTTTATATATTAATCAAAAAAAAAAAAGGAGCTGGTGTGAAAAAGGGGGCCCAAATTATTGACTGCCAGTGGCCCCGCTGAGCTTCAATCCAGCCCTGCATAAAGGCATGAATAAAGAGAGCTCTTGTTCTTTTGTTGATTGTTCCGCGAACGACGAAGCAGCAAATTGAAAATTAAACATTTTGTAACCTTAGCGCAGGAGAACCATTATATTGACTCTGATTCGCCATTTTAATGGGTTCACAGTATGAAATGCTAAAGTTCAACAACAATTTTCCTTTGAACTTGCAGCCATGCTAAGGAAAGTATGGTTGACCTATTAAAATGTATTTAAGTTTAGGGGCCATACTTACCCAATTTTAATTACTATAAAAATAAACCAATAACCCACGATAGCTCAAACGCAACCAGAATACTCCAGTATTATTCCCGTGGACTCAATTTGGCTACAATAGCGCACTTTAGCTTGACAACCTTTTAAAATTTCACCAAATTTTACGATTTATTTACAATTTACACAAATACATATTTATCTTTATATCTATATACACAAATACATATATCGAACATTAACGTAGGAAGCTCAAACTTGCCTATTCATAATAAAACTAAATTAACAATTTCAAAGCTTATCAAAACTAACAATTAACAACTTTCAATACACACTTAAAAGTTTTTCGTTTAACTTGAATTGTATTAAGTAAAGTTTTACAATGACATTTATACGATAAATGTATACTTATAGATTTTTAAAACTTACAGCTCTTCGATGACGCTTCAAGTAAGTACAAAGTGGACTACACCAGAGCGTATTTCATTAGACTCTAAAAACTCATATAATCTCGCTAATATTCGTATTTACAGTGAGACTTGTTCTCTTTTGAGTGGCTCTCGTGGAGAAGACGAGACCGCTTTGAAACTTGTCCATCACAGCTCCTGAGTTCCTGTCGTCTTTTGTCTGTGACTGCATCTGTGAGCGTGAGTGTGACTGCGACTGTGATTATGGCTGTGACCGTGACTGTGGTTGCTGCTGCTCTCGGATGCTTCCTCAATGGGATTGTTGTCCTCATCGCATGAAATGTATTTAATTCGCAGTCGCTGACGCTCGCCCGCGCTGTTGTTTATAGATAGACAAATGGGGGAGCTATTGTCATCCATTGGCCTCTCGATGACGCACTCCACGGCCATGTGGTTCACCGCTGCCCCCGCCGCCTTCCTCTCCCGCGACGATGTGGTGGGCACCTGCTGGATCTGCGTCTCCATTGTGCTGCGCTTCCACTGGCTTTTGGTCTCCACTACACACACACACACACACACATATATATATATATATATATATACCGAGCTACCTACAGAGTCCCATTGTACGTACCTCTAGTGTTTCGATTCGAGCTGTTCTTGTTCGCCAACCTACTCTTCGGCGAGTCGAACTTGTAGCGTGTCAGGCCCATGCAGCAGCAGAAAATGATCCGTTGGAAGTACATGCGAAATCTGTAACGCGAAATATATTAAGTGAAAAATGAAAATTGAAAATTGTTTTTATCGCTTTCAAGGTAACTACTCACCTCTTGTTCATCCAGTAGTAGATGATCGGATTCACCATGGCATTGGACATGGCCAGCCAGTAAAAGCCGAGATACATGTGCTGCACGTACTTCGTGGATGCCACCTGGTTGTTGTGGTAGGCATAGATGAAGAACATGTGGTAGGGCAGCCAGCAAATGGCGAAGATGGAGACGATGGCTATGAACATGCGAACGACCTTTCGTTTCGACTTCATCGACTCGATCTGGCGCTCCGTGTTCTCGCCTATAGAACGACTGCCCCACAGCACGCGACCCATTAGCGAGTAGCAAACGAGCATTACGATCATCGGTATGCCGTAGGTCAGCACCAACAGAGTCAAGTTATAGCTGCCAATTGACGAGTGTTCACAATTAGCTGTATAAGGCTGAAAGGGACTGCAATACACTTACACGTAGTCGGCCATCGACGTCGGGTAGCGTCCGTCGGGCCACATCATAAAGCAGACTGTACGCGATTTTCCGTTATAATAGCTGCCAAGTAATTTTATAAATCATCACCCGTTCATTGTCTCGGCTAATGTTAATTGCTCTAAATGGTAAGGTTAACAGGAAATTTTCGGCCTGCGCGCCCTAGTGGAATTTACATTGTGCATAACGGTATCTTGGGTTGCTGCGGCGCCAGACACTTTGCAACATAATTTAATTACTATGAAAGCGAACCCAGCCCGAAGATCCCTGAGAAATTATCACGGCCCAAAAGTTAGGCGCGAAGGGTCCTTCCGCCCAGACGAAAGGCGACACCTTAAAGTCGCCTTTTGCATCGAAGCTGCCTTTCCATAAAAATCTAATTTGGCAAATTGAAGATTTGCCAACAATCCACTCAGTCTGAGGAGCTCGTTAGACACGCAACTGCCAGCCAGGTGATTAACTGAGCAAATTTTCGGCCAACTCGACCATTCAAATTGCCAAGTTGACGACCAGACTTGCACCTCAATAGATTATGATTGTATTTGTGCATTTTGAACTAATTGACCTCATTGTGCATTACATTACAATAAATTAGTTAAAAATGTCCTCAAATTAGAATAATTTAACGATTTTAACTGGATCTCAATAGCTCTTATATACACTCAAGCGCATTCATGTTTAAATAAATTGTTAATAGTAAATGAATTTGATAGGTTATTGATTTCTTCATATTGATTTCAATTTAGCAACTGTGTAAATTGGAGTAAAACTCTATTCGGTGTGAAGTCCTTTTGACTGAGCCTTTGAAAGAATGCATTTCAATTCGTTTGGGATGGATTGATTATATTTATTTTTTGCTATTTCTTTCGACTTTTCGATATTTCAACCGATATGTCAAAGTCTAACTAAATTATTCTAGGTTCTCTTTGTTGCAGCTTTGGGTTTTCTATAAATCTACCGATAGTGTGCGCGTCAGCTTAATATACATATATACTTAAAGTCTTGCAATTCTTCTCTACTTTTTTTATTCTTCTCAAAATACAACAAAGCTATTATTTAAGAATTTGTATTTTCTATGTTTTAATATTTTCTATTGCTATTACCTTTCTAGAAGCAGGCTTAGTGGAATTACATGAGCTATCAAGGGATACAATTTTTTTTCGCATTTCAATTGCTTAACTTAACATATCTATATACATATATACCCATAATATTCGTTAAATTTTTTAGAAAAATTGCCAGAGCCAATAATATTGTGTCCTTATGAACGAAATTTCTCGTCAGTTTATTATCCCTTTTATTCCACTTATACTTATGCAGACTCAGAGCTCAACATGTTATAAATTCTTCTATAAGCTAGCTTGTTTATTACCCTAGGCAACGTTTTATCTCGAGAATGTATGCCAGTGCCACTCATTCAATCAGTGCACGCGTCAGTCCGTCAGTCCATCAGTCCGTCAATCAGTTAGTCATAAAAGACTAAAAGCTTCAATTCTATTAAGTGAACGTGCCATTTGGTTCATTGAAGTGTGCGAATTTGCGTAAAATTCAAATGAAAGTGGAGTCAGGAGGAGCCTAGTTGAGCTTCAGGTGCTCATAACGTTAGCTAATGCAATATATCTCAGCAATGGCGATGACAAT